AAACTCCCTTCCAGGATGCAGGTCAAGTTTTTTTCAATTTTGTTTGGATCTGAAAACATCTTTCACCCCCCCTGGAAGAGAATGAAGAGAAATGCAATGAACCGCCGTTAAGTGATAAGGACACAGGCCTGCGTTATTTCGGGCTGGAGCAATTTCATCGAATAACTTAAATGATTTCATACAAATCGGTAATGTGTCGCCCCAAAAAAACCCCCAAAACTGCAGTACATGAATGGATTATTTGAAAGAAAAAGTGTTTAGCTTTGATTGCACGATGAAGAAGATATTGAAGTAAAAAAAAAAAATAAAAAAAAAAAAATAAATAAATAAAATCAGCTTCTTGGTTTTGTCGTCGCAATTTCATCTGCTGTATTTCGGGCCGGACAAGTGTTCCACAAACCTGCCATCTAAGTAAAACGTTCACCTCGGCAAAGTGCTCTATTAGGCCCAGTTGTTAAACTTTAACTATTTCAACGTCAAGCATTCCGGATTTTAACGGCCTCCTCCTCCTCCGCCGCCGCCGAGAGGTTTCGTCTGATGCGTATCCCATTACAGCCCGTTTCGCCCGCGCGGCCGCTTGTGTTTGTGGAGGGTTGAACCTCGCCGCTCCAATTATCCGCCGGGCTTCAAAGGAGGTGCAAAGGTTAGCGGGCTCAGTAACGGTTAACTAGAGCAAACAGCGGCGGCTATCTTAAGGGAGAGCGGAAAACCTCCGCAAGGACGGCCGGGCGGGAGGGAGGCTCCAAGGCCGCAGGTCTGCATGTTGTTTATGTGCAAGGCAGTTCCAGGTTCATGCTTCCACACTTTCTGCTCTCAATAAAACCAGTCGATCTTCCTGATCTACCGTATTTTCCGGACTACAAGTCACAGTTTGGCCCTTGGGTGCGATTTCCACTATCTGTGAAATTATGAACATATTATTATATCATTTCACGTGATTTTTTTTACAATAAACCACAAGAGGGCGCTCTATGCCCGTGTTGATAAATCGCAGATGAGTCTGAAGTAAGCGACGTAGAAGAGGAAGCGCCGCATATTCTACCTCCGGAGTTGGCCCAATTGTTGAAAAAGTGAAACGGAGGATGAAGGAATCTTCGGATTTCGTGATTTTTCTGCTCTAGTTATCGGAATAACACTTAATATGTTACGTGAACATCCCAGGCACGTTCTCAGTTCGCTGTTTACGCGTCGTGTAACGTTAGCATATCGTACGCTTATTCAGCCTCTATTTTAAATTGCGTTTCAAGATGACATCAAATAAAAATGCGACTTATACATGTTTTTTTTCTTCGTTATTATGCATTTTGTTGCGACTTTATACACCGGAGAGACTTATAATACGGAAAATACGGTAGTGAAACAGTGTTTTCGACCAAAACATTCTTTGCGCCTTACTGGTATCAAGTGGCCACGCCGTTTGTCCGTGCGAGTACATTTCTTAGGGAGTCAAGTAGAAGCTAAAACATTTCCACACAAAAGGGGCAGGATGGGGGGTGGGGGGAGCACGCTGAGTCTCTTATGAATGGTGGCCTGTGCGGCGGACTTTCTGGGGAGCGAAGGCTGCTTGCCTTTGATCGGATGGGACTTCTGGGTGGGTGAGAAGCCCACGAGGAGCGCTCGCATTCTTCGAGCAGCAGACGGGGATTGTGTTTCAGCCCGGGAAAGGGGTCCCAACCGCACTCCCCTTTTGAGTCAGTCTTACCCGACATTCCTTTGAACGGGCTGCCCTCGTGCTACGCCTCAAGCTGTCTCCCGAATCGCTTGTACGACCGAGCAGCTGCCGGGGCCCACAAGTGATTCATAGTGTCAGAGCCGGGCGACATCAAAAAGCCGCCACAGTAAGTGAAAGACAATGTGGTGATTTCTCTTTTTTTTGCGAGGGGGTGGAGTGGGGGGGGGGGACAAAAGGGGCGAAGGGTCTTTGCTGGGGCACTGGGAGAAAGAGCAGTCTGTTTTTTTTTTGAATGACTATTTGTCACATGCAGTTATTTGGGACCTCTTGATAACTTCATGTCAGAAAAGCCGTTCAAAAAAGTACAACGGTCAAAGTAGTAGCTAGCCGTTACTTTCAATACAGTAAATCCCGGCATTCGCAATGATCCTCATCGATATGCGTTTTTGTGAAGTTTTTTTGGCGCCGAATAATGCGTTTAGAACTGAATACAGTTGAATATGTAACATAGGTTCGCGATTGCGTGCATGCTAGCTGGATGGTGTTGATGCTTTATGATCCCTTCAGTTTTTGTTGCTTTGCCACCATACTTTTTCGCTGTCGCCGCCGGGCTTGGTGGGGTTTAATTGACAAGAAGGTGAACAAAAAAAAAGAATCCAAATGCCGTCTGTCTTTTCGTTACGCAAGATCAAAATCATTGGTGGATTGCATCAGGAAGGTCACCCAGTGCAAAATCTGTGCCCCCCCCCCCATACCCCCCAATAAATCGCGCGCGTAAGTAACTCCCCGTGGCGAGCCGTAAAAGGACAATTAGAAAGTCGCAATGATGTCATCCTCCCTCCGTTCGGAGTGAACGTCTTCGTGTTGGCTGAAGATTTTATGCGGCTGAAAGGCCAAAACTCATTCGGGTGACGATGCAATGTTTATCATATCATTTAATCCACTGACAGATGCGCTCACTTTTGTACATGCCGTGGTATTTTTAGGAATGGTGGAAACATAAGATCGTTAAACAGTAGGTGATAAGTCTTCCAACTTGGAACCGCTGTGTTTTTGCACCTTACTTGTGTTACGCATCCGGTGTTGGCATAGACTCCGGGCCACGCTACGTTTTCACCTCTTGGCATTCCAGCTGCTCCGAAACCCCCATCAGCTGCTAAAAGCGATCTTGGCGTCGGGAGGCTCAGTGGGCCTGCAGCTGGCCCGGATTACGAGCGCAGGATCCTCTCCGTGTTCATCGTGACGTTTCTCAGAGCGGTCGGGCTGCTCAGCTGTTGGCTTGCTTTAATGCCGCTTCCTGTCGAGATTTAGGACGGTTTAGGACATCCCTCGCATGACCTGAGTCGACAGTATTCGCAAATCCTGAAAACCTGATTACCGCAAGAGAATATCACAAGTGGCAAGTGCCTATCACAACTCTCTTTTGATAGGCACAAGTAAAGAAAACTTCCTTGGTCCTAATCTTAGAGTCAGTAGTTCAAGTCTGTTTCTTCTTTCTGGAGCCTTGGCCTGTCCTGGACATTGGCTAGGAATTGAGGACTTATGTTGATCTTTTTTGCCTCTTGAATCACTTTCTGGAACTTGGGTTTGTCCTGTACATTGTCTTGAAGTTGACGTTTGGAGTTTCTCTTCTTTGTCTCCTGAATCTCTTTCTGGAACTTTGGTTTGTCCTGGACAATGTCTTGAAGTTGAGGTCTTAAGTTTCTCTTCTTTGTCTCCTGAATCTTTCTGGAACTTCGGTTTGTCGTGGCCTTTGTCTTGAAATTGAGTTCCAAAGTTTCTCTTTGTCTCCTGAATCTCGTTCCGGAACTTTGGTTTTCCTGGATTTTATCGTGAAATTGAGTTCTGAAATTTCTCTTCTTTGTCTCGTGAATCTATCTGGAACTTCGGTTTGTCCTGGATTTTGTCTTGAATTTCAGTTCTTACGCTTTTCTTCTGTGTCACGTAAATCTCTTTCCGGTACTTTGGTTTATCCTTGACATTGTTCAGGGATTAAGGATTTAAATGGCTCTTCTCCATCTCCTGAATCTTTTCCTAAAATTTCTCTCTGTCCTGGACATTGTCGTGAGATTCAGGACTTGTGTCTCCTCCTCTCTCCTTTTCAAAGTCTCAGAGAGAACTGGTTTTCCGGAAGCAAGTTCCCGCAATCCGTTCGATGCCTTTTTTTTTGTACGTAAATACGTAATGCCGCTATCCTGCTAGCAAACCGACAACTGTAGCAACCGGAAATCGAAACCGTCTCTCTCACCCGTAATGCTTTTGCGCTCGACGGAAGTAATATTTCATTGCTTTTCATTCATTTTCCCTCGCTCGGTTGTCTTTCTGAGTCGTGATGAAGTGACATATTGTATTCCTTCCCGGCAACGTTCCATTCATCCACATGATACGTAGAGCTTACCGCCGTCAGTCTAAAGAAGACATTCATCCACTCTCAATTTGCTTGGGTCTCAAAGTCTATGAGGTGTGAAGGGCAGCTGCGTTCTAGATTGCGGACGTCACCCGCCAACATTTCCTTCGGAGCTTATCGTGCCCCGGTGGCGGGTAGCCGCTTCCTTTTGGCTCTTTGCCCTCGACTGTAAAACTCTGGCTAGGCCCCGGGATACACCCTGTAAAATTGTTGGCTTTTTATTATCGGTCCCTTGATATTACTTTCAGTTTACTTTGGCCGTGTAAAAGATACAATGGATGGGGGGGGGAAAAAAAACAGCTCTTGCTCCTGTTCAGTTTTTTTTTTTTTGGTGCGTTTTTTTTTTTTGCGATGGGACAACAGGAATCAATTCAGAACTTTGCTCACGTTTAATGCGACGCCCTTGAACAATGACTTGGTTGAATTGCTTTTTGTTTCGTTGTTGTCAGGCTGAAAGTCTGAAGATTTTTGTGCCAAAAACCAAATATAACTTCAGGGGGTTAAAAAAAAAGTTGAACTTGGCTCCAAAACGTCAGGCCATAAAACGTTTTCCTTGACTGCACGGGGGACTTATTGTATGTTTTTGCAATATGTAGCCGAGTTGGATGTTTTTCTCCGGAAGAAAGGCAGCAGACTGTTTCGTGGTGTATCTGATACCTCGGAAATTATTTTCAACCTTTTGATCCGTTTTGCTTTAATTTAAACAAAAAAATGCACTTAGTAATTTTAGTGTGCGCGCATTTATGCAACCCCGTTAGCGCATTTTATATTCTCCCTCACGTTTGACGAACAACTTGGAGGATTACAGTCCGATTTTGAGAATCGGAGCATTTTTTTTTTTTTTTTTCATGACGCGTCGTGTCAATGGCGAGAATATTATTCCAAACGTGAAACACTTCTCCTCTCTCTGCTTTCTTGCAGCCACAGCAAGTCGTCCAGAAAAAACCTGCTCAGGTAAGAGATCCCCGTTATCACGCGAGTGCACGATGTCATCCTACTGAAGCTTCGACAAAAGTATTGAGACACCCGTTTCGAGTTTGCCACCTCTCGTTTTCGCATCGACTTCAAATGAAACCATCAAATCCATTTGAATCGAAGCTGAAACAAACAAACAAAAAAATCCCAAAATGTATTTTGTCCACCCTAGTGGACACCCGTGTTTTTTTTTTAACCTTATTTCAAAGTCTCTCTAACTGATTTCTAAAGCAAAACACGCCGTCTTTTTCCTCCGCACGCGCAGGCGTAACGTATTATTGTGAGTAATGCCTTGTTTTCCCCATGTGAGTACATTCATTAGAGGGAGAATGGAAGTGGAATGATATAGTAGAGTGAGTGAAACACGACACAGGACCCCCCCTCCAATCCCAGCATGCCCTCACTGTCCAGGAATCTACCAACCTCCCTGTGTTTGCTGGTCCAGGCCACTTTTTGCATAACTCACCTCTGATTTGTGGCCGTGTGGGAACAGGGCCCTGAAGTCGTTGGGGAGGTGCTGTGAGGCCCGGGGAAGCTGCAAACCATAAAAATGTCGTTTCACTCACCCACTTTGATAGGCTGCTTTATCTCAGCCCAAACAACGCCCCGGCTGGAGCAAAACCTCAAAACCATTTCAGGGTGGCGTAAGTTTGACGCACCCGGGAGCTCACTCGACTCTTTATCTAAAGATAAAATACTTTTTTCCTGTGCAGAAGTACATTAGAATTTTTTTGGTTTACGACCTACATTTGAAACATATCGAACTGTGGCTCAAAAGCGAAGTGCGGAGAGTCTCCGCCATAGGAATACAGGGGGGGCAGTCAAGGATTGAAATTTATATTTTATTTTGTGGTTCAAGAAAAAAAAAATACACAAAATACAGTAGTGCGGTGCATCAAAAAATTGAGTCATGCTGAAATTTTTTGCTAGTCACTCAATCATTTCATGCTTTTTATCTTCATCTTCTTATTTTTTTTGTTGTTGTCAACTTTGTGCATGGGAGGCGAATATGATTAAAGGTTCTTTGGTGGTAGCCCCCCCACCATCAATCCACACCACTTTTCTCTCTCTCGTTCTCATTTGCCCTCGTCACACATGGTAGCATTTAGCAGGCTCTTTCAAGGCCGCCGTCTGCGAGCGCTAATGAATGGAAGCGGAGCTTGCACGTCGCCGAAAACGCTTCGGCCGCCCAACGGGTTTCACTCCTGTGGCCTGGGAAAAGGAAACGGGGTTCGCAATTGTGCCACTTGGCCCCCGCTGTACAAAATGAAGCCATGTGGAAAATGGAATTCAGGAATTTGTGTCATTTCCGCTATGGTAAAACCCGGTCTTAAAATAAATTTTTGAAAATTTCCAAAACGTAACGACATTTCCCATCAAATCCGTCCGCTCGTACTCATGTCTGTTACGTGGCGTAAGTGACATTTTCTTTTTCTTCCTGGGCAGGAAGAAAAAGAGGAGGAAGAGGAGGAGGAGGAAGAGGAAGAAGAGACTGCGGAGTCCCCGGAGGAAGATTAAGCTTCCATACCATGAAACCTCTACCTCATTCAGCTGTCAGGTCTTTCAAAGGGAAAAGGCTACCTTGACCACTTTTTTTTTTTTTAACCTTTTCCACATGTCATTTTTTTTTTTGGGTTGTTTTTCAGTCCATGTCCAGTATTTCACTTTGTCACTGGATGCTGGATGACCTGTCGCTAAGCAGGCCATCGACGTTTCTCTTCCGATTTTTTCCCCTACAAAACGCAAGACACACCTTCGGCGCCGTCGGAGGCGCGGCCGCTTTTCGCAGTCTCCGAAACGCAGAAGGGTCAGGTCTTCTTTTCCAAATTATACAGACGCACAACCGACCCAAAATGATGTATGGCCGCCGAGCACAGGGAGACGCGTGTTCCTCAGGGCAGCTTTTATTTTTGCTCAATCAATCATGTTGACCTCAAGCCAAGCTTGCGAAAAGTTGTAAACTTCGCTCAGGTTTCGAAAAAAATAAATAAATAAATAAACATCTTTATATATACGCTGGAGTGAAAAAGTGAACGAGCGAAAGTGAAATCCCACAAATAATCGACGCCCATTTCGTTTGTTCCGAATCGGACGCAATCAGTGGATTTCTGATCGGGAATGTTGAACAAATACAACATTTACGATCACCAATCACGATCATCTTTTTTTTTTTTCAATTCAACATAAAATGTTATTATGGGATAGCATGTGGGTTTTTCTTCTGCTAATTTTAATCCCCAAAGTAAAATCAGATTTTTTTAAAGATATTTTAAAAAACAATATTTCCTCACTTTCGGACGGAATCGGCGCATCTTTGAAAGGATTATATTTCAGGAAAATGAAATAAAGTGGTTTTGAGTCATTCAACATTGTATCGTGATCAAGGAAGTAGATTTGACACGAAACCTGAAATGACCAAATTTGGGCATCGTCTTCCGCCTGACGCCGTTGCTAGTTTATCCTGATTTATTCGTCTCAAATAATGGGCTAAAAAAATTAACCCAGTAATTTTCAACTCTGTCATTCTCCAGATTCCAATGCCTAAAACAGCCCCCCCACTCCAAAGTTTTAATTTTGATTGACTTGAGGTCAGACAGTACCTTGTTTTCATTCATCGCCGTAACCTCAGATGTGTGGTTTTGCTTTACTTGCCCTGCTCTTGGTGGACACCCAAAACCTCCGGTTCAGTCATTGACGCCACAACCAAACTCGTTTGCATCGGACTACTCTACAGTATATCGTTTATTCATGTCTGGCTTGTTTGCAGAAGCACAACATAGCTTTAAAAACCTTGTTCAACGTCGCACAGCAAAGATCTATCCTCAGATGGTTTGCCTTGCAAAAAAAAAAAAACAACCTCATGAAAGAACAACAACAACAAAAAAAAAAACACATTACCTCAGAACACACGTGATACCTGGATTTTTTTGTGGCAGCGTCGCATCGGACATCTCATCTCACACTGTAACACGCAGAGGCGTGTCAAATCATTTGCTCGTACGTCAGTGCTTTGTGGTCACTGACGTGCGGCGCCTTCTCGACGGTTTTTGCTTTTTTGTTTTTTTTTTGTTGGTTTTTATCAAAACTACCTCCGACTCTTGAAATGCGGCGCCGTGTCCGAAAGCGCGCTCGAAGCGACGCAACAGGAAGGCAATTGTGTGTTCACGTCTGTTGTTGGAACTGAAAACGTTGACGATACTGTACATTGAAAGCGAGGTCGCGCTTGTTGCCATTTTCGCCCGCGGCTGTTTCGCTTCGATCAGGTGCAGCCGGAGCGATCGATGAAGAAGCACGGGTCAGGTTTGATTGTCTTTTAAATCATTTCCAGAAATTAGGTGGGGTTTTTTTGGGGAGTGTGGGAGGGGGATACATTGTTAATATTTCTCAAAAAAAAAGAAAAATGCCACCAGATAGCGCCCAAGCTATATTTTTTATATTAGGCATACCGTTGTCCTTAGCACAAAAAAATGCAAATAACTAAGGTTCTGCTCAAAAGAATTTGTCAAATTATTCAAAATTTTTAAGTCTACTTTGCGACCTGACATTTGCTTCTTTAGCGATTTCCGGGGGTGGGGTTTGGGGGGGGGCAGTGGTCTCTTTTTCAATACTTAATACACAAAAGCAGCTATCATTCATGTATTCTTTTGTTACTCTATATCCACAAACGATAATGCAACTTTTTTTTTTCTTCAACGACAAACTGGGATTTCTGTTTGACGATAGTTAACTTGAATGTTTTTTTTTTTTTTCGAGGGCTGTTTTTTTTTTCTTTTTTTTTCCTGATTGTACTACCTACAGTATGAATGAAATGTACCTCAAAAGTATCGGCTTACAATGGACTAATCACTTCACTACCTCCAGTTTTGGTCATGCCGGTTGACTTTCAGTATGAGCGTATGCTGATTGATGCTAATAATCGACAGTATATATCAGGACTGCAGAAGCTCCTCATTTGAAAGTACTCGGTGTAATCCGAGTATATTTCTCACCCTCAAGTGGCTTTCACATTTGAATATTGTATTCATGAATATGTTTTCTTGTTTTTAATTAGCTGGTATACTTGGTTAGCTGTCTCGCGTACGTTAATGTGATTTTTTTTTTCTTCTTCTCTTGTTATATGGTTAAACCAGATGTATACGGGATTGTTTTTTTTTTTGTTTTGTTTTTTACTTTGGGAGGTGTTATTATCAAAAAAAAAAAAAAAAAATTCAGCCAAGGCCGGTAGAGCCTCAGAGGGGCTGCGTTGATCCTTTCAATCCGCTTTCAAATGCTCGTCGTACGACAAATGAAGCAAATGCCGCAAAACCCGGAACGTACCAGTGTTGGCAGCGAATGTTTTGTGAAGGCTGCCTCTCTCTCTCTTTGGACTGAGATGATTGTTGAAGCCACTGCGGGTGAACTTTCAGCTCTGGGAGTCTTAAAAAAAATAAAATAAAAGTTACTCGTCATAACCGTTATATTCTAGTACAATCAGAAACACATTACTACCTCTCAAATGGCTTATTTTTTTACCTCAATCTCAAACCTAAATACTGTTTTGACATCCAGAAAGCATTGGATGAACATCTTGAAATGTTTATTTTTTGCCGGGATACATTTTATATGACTGTTTGTTCCATTCACCTCAACTGAACTTGTAACTTTTAGTCTGTAGTAGAAGCTGGGAGGCACGTGGTTGGATTTTTCCGAGCTCTCTCCACTGTGTGTTTTTTTTTTTTTTTTTCGACAGCCTCTAACATATCTAACTTTTTTTTGGGGGTTGTTGTTTTCCCTATCCACTTCCTGTCCTGGATTACGCTTCACTTTTTACTCGCTTGCTAAAAGTCTTTAGATATTCACTGCGTTTTATTCAGCACGATAATTAAAAAAAAAAAAATAAAGTATGGCATCCAGAACATGTGTGACTTCTTTGTGATACTGTAAACATTTTTTTTTTTGCACATTAAGTTTGAGCTGCTGGTATACAAGGGAAAAAAAAATCCCCTGAAACACAAAATCACCAAAGCACCTGTCAATCACTTATGAATAAAGAATAAACTGGTTTTACCACAAGGAAATGACCACAAAGGCTTGTTTGGGAAGAGACATTGACCACAATTGTTTTTACTAAAGTCGGTAGACTTTTGCTACTATTCTTTGTGGCACCACACGAAAAGTGGCTGATGATGATGGAAAGTTTCCGAGCCTGGCTCAATTTACCAGTCAGTCTCCTTTACTGTGAAATATGGTGTACTACATCATAGCATTTAGCATGTTAGCATTTTTAAAGCCACAATTACCATTCCACGTGTCAATCTTTTAGCACCCATCTGTTGTGGTTCAACATTTTTTCATATTCACAGTATCAGTTGATGGTACGCCAGTTTTGCATTTTTTAAATATGACCTGGCGACATGACATGAAATTGCAGTTGTAGTCAATTTTTTAATTGTACGTTTTCAAAAAACAAGTGATGACGGATTGACTCAACACTGACTCACATCTTCTCGTTTCCTTTCCTCACTGAGTCAGCGCGCCGTCACATTCATCGAAGTCGAGTCATCGAGGAACATTGCCAGCCCTTTTCCTTCTTTCGAAGACTTGGATTTGAAGTTTGTTTTTCCTCCATTCCTCCCATTTTGGACACCATTTTTTGCCGTTCCGGGTCACGGGGAGCAGAAGGGCGCCCCAACTTGGACTGATCGCCAAATGAGTCAGGGCACAGGGTGACTGCAACTGGGGTGTCAAACTCATTTTTGTCACGGGCCACATCGTAGTTAGACATTTGTATTAAAAGGGGATTGATAACAAAAAAATCTTGCAATATATTAACGTTTTTTTAAAGGGAAATACAATTGGCAATTGGTATTTTAGCGAGAAAAGTGTATAATTTGCTTCCGGGGGCCAGATTGCCCGTAAGCAAAGTGATGTATTCATACTGTAGTCGACAGCTCCCTCTAGCAGGCCGAAATAGGGCATTACAAGTGAAACTCACAACACACGTTCGATATTATCTCTGCATTTTACGATGAAAGGGTTCCACTTCCTGCATTCTAAGTTACGACACTATTAAACAGGAATGTCGCTGTTAATATTAATAGTTTGGAGTCCATAATTAATGTAGAAGTGGGAAAAAAAGCTTGAATGAACAGGAATTTCGATTTGCGTCGCGGTTCGATATTTTACTGCGAAGGCGTTCTACTTCCGTTAAACTCTGGCTACAGGAAGTGATGACTGACTGCTTCGCTGTGCACTTGGAAATCTGAATATCTACGTTTCAAAATATCAATTTGTTATTATGTCTGCGAGAAACCCGGGGACCCAACTCGGTGAGTGTCAAGTAAAGCTCGAATCACAGCTCTTCGCAGCGTTAATGTCTGATCGTCATTCGAATCGTGTGCAAAGGCAGATCGCTTTTCTGCCTTTCTATTTGCTAAATAAGTAACACTTTAGAGGTAAACGACCTGGAAAACGCAGGGAAGGAGTTGTGCAAACCAGTGTGGCATAATAAAACGGACCTTTTGGCTGCAAGTTATCTTGTGACTATGTAATTAACAACTCGTGATCTCCCTGCTTCCTTTCTGGGACAAAGGCGTCAATTTTATTTTATTTTTCTGCAAAAGGCGAAAAGCAAACTGTTACATTTTTACATGAATGCATACGTTGATTGCCTGCGGGGGATTTTCCTGGCTCAAAATGAGGTAGTACCATTCGGATCATTAACACTTAATCAGCGGTCCCAAAACAAACACTTTTCTACGGTCCAGTCGTGTCCTGACATCAATTATTATTTTGTAACTCTCTCATGTTTTTTTTTTTTTAATGATTTCCTGCTTTAAATTAATGGACATCACCTCACTCACTTTCTTTAGACCAGTAGTTGGTAAAATGTTTGAAAAATATTTGCATGAGAAATAGAAAATATGAGCAGACAAGTGTACCGTCTGCAAGGTAACCATGGCAACTGATGGTGGCCTGATGTTTCGAAATGATAAGTTTCGCTTGCAACACAAAGTTACAAAACAACAACGACAATGTATTTACCTGTATTTAATTTTTTGTTTTTCTGCCGCATTCCTTGGAAAAATTTCTCACTTAATTTATAAGACATCTGTAAGTTTGCCTGTGTCAGTCCGAGCTGGAAAAAAAAAAACCCTGAGAGATGCTTTTTCATTTTTTTTTTCCTATCCCATTGTGCTTCAGATCTGGAGTGGGTCTCCAAAGTAAAAGTGAACACCCAAGCTGTGCTTCGAAGAGCTCAGTACATCCAAGGATTGAAGCTCCCCAAGAAACAGTGGCAGGTACAGTACAACAATATTTACCTTGAAAGGTGAAAAAAAAATGCAGATTTGGACAACAAAGTATTTTTGGAGGTGGTACTTGAGGGTAATAATAATAGAACCGCCGTTAATCCATTTGGATTCTTTTGCAGGCTGCCTGGCTTTTGAAGGCCATCACGTGTATCGACCTGACGACTCTGGCCGGAGACGATACGCCGTCCAACGTCCACCGGCTGTGCATGAAGGCCATTCAGCCCGTCCAGTATGAGCACCTCAAGAAAATGGACATGCACGATAAAGGTCTGCTTGGTCTTGCTTGCACAAAATATTGATTGTATTTTTTTTACACCCCTCATGCTCTTCAGAAGTGGCTTTTTTTTTCTGTCGAACATCTACGGCACCCGTCCAGTAGTTCTGTTTACAACCTGCAAGGGGAGACACAGACCATTCGAAATCATTCTCAGCAGTCTCTTGTCTTTTGTGCCCGAAGGAGTGACCACCGGCGCCGTGTGCGTGTACCCGTCACGCGTGGCCGATGCGGTCAAATCGTTAAAAGCCGCCAACTCCAATCTTCCCGTTGCATCGGGTGAGTTGACAAAAGCTTTATATATTAAAAAAGAAAAAAAAAAAAGATGCATTTCAATTATTTTCAGTCGTTCAATTTAAAACAGGATTAAAAATATGGAATAGGGAAACATGACGGAATGAACTGTGACTTTTGTGCTCTGGAATCAAAACGTCCTCTTCCAGTGGCGACCGGTTTCCCGGCAGGTCAGACCCCACTGGAGACGCGGCTGACGGAAGTTCGCATGGCCGTGGCGGACGGCGCGACGGAGATCGACATCGTCATCAACAGGACGCTCGCTCTCACGGGGCAGTGGGAAGGTAGAGAAACCATCCCAAAAAAAAAATACATCAATAAATAAATAAATGCTCCCACATCCTGGAACCACCAGTGCGTTTCTTTTTTTTTTTTGACTTCCGCAGCCATGTATGACGAGATCTGTCAGTTCCGAGAGGCCTGCGGCGACGCTCACATGAAGACCATCCTGGCCATCGGCGAGCTGGGCACCTTCGCCAACGTCTACAAGGCCAGTTTGGTCGCCATGATGGCCGGTCGGTTTCACGCAAAAACAAAAATGTGTGTCCTGTGTTTTCAACGGCGTGACTTTTTGCACGTTTGAATTGTCGATTCGTTTTGTCACGGCGATTGTTACTCCGTTTATAGTCCGGTTGTTGTTTCAAGGTATGTCACGTTGAGCAATCGAAATACAGAGAAACTCCTCTACAACGAAACCTACATGGGCAAAAATACCCACTGGTGTGAAAAAATTTTCATGCATGAAAGCCATTCACACTTTTCTGCTCCCCCTACGACGAAAAGTCCCCCTGTTCCGTTATACGAAATCTTTTACTCTGCTCTTGCCTCGCAACGAGATTCACTACAACGAAAACAAGCCTTCCGCAAAAGTCTAATCCAACCTCTGCTGCTTCGTTCGGAAACGGCAACAGCAACCACCACACTGGTTTACACATGCGCAGTAGTACAGGAAGTATTTGTTTTTGTTAGTTTCAGACGCAGCACGAACGTTGCATTGCTAAAATGGCGAAAATAAAAAGTACATATATACGTTTTTTTTGTGTGTGTGTTCGTGTTTACGTCTGAAATCAAATTTGCTACAGTGAAAAGTCCCCTGCTGTGAAACATTTCTTGCCGCAAACATGATTTCGTTGTAGAGGAGTTTCACTGTAATCGGCATTATTATTATTTTTTTTTTTCCCCCCATTCTGGAGTGGCGAGCAAACTCACTTCACTCAGTTGTTGCCCAGATGATGGCGAAAAACGGACTCCCCATGCCTGCCAGATGCTTTCCTCGCCGTCACGCAATAAGCCGATTACGGGCACCGAATCGTCAGGGGGCTGTGATGGAGATCATCATTATAATGCATTGCTTTTTTTTTTTTTTTTGTCTCCACTCTCCCTTCTTAATCTCCGCTTGTTCCTATGAATTGCGTATGAGATTCCTGAAATTGAATGATAATTTCACCTATTAATCTCTTGACGCGGGCTATTTTCCCTCCACCAGTATCCCCCTCCCTTCGCACGCAAATGAATGGAGCTTCATTACCGCCACCCGTATTTAATAACCGTTATCCATTATCTGGTAATTAAGACACCCCATGACGAATTTTAAGGATTATGCCACTTTGAGAGAAGCGCGTGGTGGTGGGGGTTGGGGGTAGTAAAAAAAAAAGACCTGACTGGAAAAATACATAGCACAGGTCTTTAATGAACTGGAAAATGTTCATCTTGTTCTGTTCCGTAATGAACAGTCATTATATACCAGGGAGACAGAAGGGCTGATTATCACTCTATAGTTTGTGGATTATCTATTAAAAGAGTGTCATTTCATCTTCTATTTTTATCGGGAACGCTGATAATTGGCTGTGAAGGAAGGGGGGGGGGGGAGGGGGGGGGGGGGAAATGAAGGATTTTATTGATGAGAGTACAGCTGCCCTCGGTTAGCCATCAGCGGCAACATCTGTTCTTGTCCCACCAGAGTATCAAGAGTCCACTTTTGCACCTCCCTGCAATGCATCCAACATTTGGTACGGACATTAAATAGAATAGAACAAAAAAAAAAAAAAAGATTTCCTGAAATATGTATTTAAAAAGATCAAATATCTGTGATATTTTATTATTTTTTTTGCACACAACAATTTTGATATGTCATCGTCCATACTGCAAATGAATGACATTTGCTCAAAGCCACTCCGGGCTAATTCAATCAAATCCACCAGAGTATCAAGAGTCCACTGCGTCCAACATTTGGTACGGACATTAAATAGAACAGAACAAAAGAAAAAATATTTTCCTGAAATATGTACCTAAAAATATCAAATATCTGCAATAATTATTATTTATTTTTTTTACACACAATTTTGATATCTTATCATCATCCAGACTGCAAATGAATGACGTTTGCTCAAAGCCACTCCGGGCTAATTCAATCAAATCCTCGATTCGTTTCCTTTTAAGAAAAACATTCAACTCTACGATTTATTCTTGAACCCGCCAGGTTCCGACTTCATCAAGACGTCCACTGGAAAGGAATCAGTCAATGCCACCTACCCTGTCGCTATAGTGATGGTGAGGGCCATCCGCGACTACTTCCTACGTACGGGCCACAAGGTGAAGTGTCATTAAATTGTCACACTTGACTCAGATATGACGAGTACAGCATAAAAAAAAAGAAGTTTTGAAGTCATAAACCTCTGCTCTGACAGTATTATCATATTTTCTTTTTTTTGAAGATGCAAGTTTGATTTTAACACAAAGTACAATTCAGTTGTATTTAAGCGCAATACAGTTTGCCACCTGTAGAGGGAGCCCAAGTGGGGGAGGGTCGGATTTCATCCAGCTCGTTTCCACTTCCCTCGCAGTCTAATCAGACTGCGCTTCTCTCACGTGGTGCCCTCAGGTGGGCTTCAAGCCAGCGGGGGGCATCCGAACCGCCAAGGAATCTTTGGTGTGGCTTCTTCTGATCAAAGAGGAGCTGGGTAACGACTGGCTGACTCCTCACCTCTTTCGCTTGGGAGCCAGCAGCCTGTTGGCTGACATCGAGAGACAGGTGGGCGCCAGGATGACCGTC